ACACTCTCTCTTAGTTTTAATATTGTATACTAGGGCTAAACTGACCCAACTTTGCTCAGTGTCTTATCAGCGCTGTAACGATCATTTTAGGACAGCAATATGCAGAGTTCATTCACTGGAGTCGGGCACGTACTAAGCACGCAGCTCCCACTGAAGTAAGTGGAAGGCTAGCACACTCCATGCACAGCAGAAGGCAGCCCCATGCAAAGGTATGTGCATGCATGTGGCAATTTCAAGATCGGGCCCAAAAAGCAAGAGGGGTATTTGTTATGATACCCGGAGCAATAAGAACATCCTACTTCTTCCAGGAATCAGAAATAAAGCTCCATGTTCCCACTGGTCTACTGGGTATGGGGCAGTGCAGCTACCAGGAACAACTCACCATACTCTCCATTTGCAAAGTGTAATCCAGGCTCTTCTTTGATGACTTTTCGACCAATATTGCCATAAGTTAGGTCCAAAGCACCAGCCCCTTCTATTTCAGGAACGTTGCTTTCAGGACCTTCAGCTTTATTTCCCACGGCAGCATCTTCTTGAGCATTGAAGCCTGGCGACTTTGACCGAACGCTTTCAGCTTGGCTGTTGGCTGGAGACAGCGCCTGGAACGAAGCCGATTCCGAGGCAGCAGGACTCCTGCCATTTTGATAATCTGGATCTCCTGTCACAGAAGAAGAATCGTTCGTCATGCCATCACTTTCTGCCGAGCCATTGTCGCTAGACTTCTGGCTGCTTTGCCGTTGTAGGGTCAAAGCAGAGTTTACGATTTTCATCTGGTTCTCCAACGCAGCGATACCAGAAAACACTGTGGCTGGAGATTCTGACTGTGTATCATAAGGAGTGGGTGGCTTTGAAGAGCTGCTGGGACCATCCTGGGAGTCTAGGTCTTCTTCTATTTCTATGCTTTCCATACTCTCATCTGGACGACTGACATCTCCATTCTTTTCAACCTGCGTAGGATCCACATCAGTATTATCACAAGCATTTTCCGGCATGGGCGTATTGGGGATTTGTCCCCCCATATGCATGCGAATGTGCTGCTGCAGTACAACAGCATTTGTAAACTTCTTCTGGCAGATAGGACAAGAATGCTGCATCTTCAGTGGGGTGTTTGCTCGGTGGACACCATAGTGAGTCTTAAGGTTACCTTTTGTTGAAAAGGCACGGCCACAGATCTTGCACTTAAATGGGCGCTCGCCAGTGTGGGTACGGTAATGCATTTTGAGCGAGCTCTGACAGCTTAGCACCCTGTGACAAATCAGGCACTCGTTGGGGTCAGCAGCAGACTTGTCAATGTTCTCAACCAGCTGCTGGAGCTTGGACGTTTCTGAACCTTGCTCACTTGCCCCACTTCCACGGAAGACACTCGCACTGCAGCTAGCTTGCGGCGAGCTCAAGCTCTGCTCGGTTCCCGACTCGTGACTGACAGCACCCGATGAGGAAGAGCCACCTTCACTTTCCGGAGAGGGTCTCGGCTGCATGTCACTCGACAGGGTGCTGGGGAGAGAATCTTTGATGCCTGCTAGGCTGGAGATATTCTGCGGCAAGCCGGCACCCACAGAGCTCGGCAGCGTTGTCAGAACTGGTTTGCTATCCACAATTAGGTTGGACTCATCCAGCGGCACAGACATGCCGTACGGGATTCCACTGCTGGTGGGAATGTTGTCCAGGTGTTCAGGGACCGGATAGGGATTCATTTTAATGTGAGGGTATTTATCTTTGTGACGCTGAAAATGCACTTTCAGGTTCCCTTTGGTTGTGAACCGGTTGCCGCAAATGTTACACTTGTAGGGCCTTTCACCTGTGTGGGAGCGGAGGTGGATCTGTAAAGCACTGTCATTGCCAAAGACCTTGCCACAGAACTTGCACTTATGTTTAAAGAAAGGTTCTTCTGCAGTTGGTTTGCTATCAGACACGCTGATATTAGGGGGCTTCCCTTTCCCTTTCTTGGAGGGATCGAGCACCGACGAGACTGCAGAAAGTGGGTTTTGGAAGATGACAGAATTGGATGACTGAGGTAGCAAAGGGTTTGGAAACCGAGCAATAGAACTTGGGAGGCCCCTGGTTGCTTCAGGCTTCAAGGAAAGAGAGGAAGAAAGCCCGCCGGCTACAGAGCCAGCAGCTGGAATGCCAAGGGTAGGATGAGGTAGTTTTCCTTGCTTCAAGGATTCCAGTGATAGGCTTTGGCTTCCAGCTTTTTGTCCAATTAATGCAACAGTAGCCGACAGCTGCTGAGACATGTGAGCACCCAACGCTTTTAGGGGATCGGCAGCAGCTGCTATTGAAGGATGCAGGGCATGAGGAGCCATCATGGCAATCTGAATGCGGATTTGTTCTGTAAGCTGAATTTGCTGAAGCTGCTGCTGCTGCAAGCAGACGAGCTGCTCCAGGATCATTGGGATAGTATTAAAACTAGCTGCGGAGGGAGAGATGGCATCAGAGGTACGCTGGTTCACAGCCACTTTGGTGCCACGTATCGTCTGCAAAGTCACATTAGTGTTTGGTACCTTGGGTTTTGATAAATAGCCGAGGCCAGGAGTTGCTGAAGTCACAGGGGGTTCTGTTTTTAGGTACATTCCTGCAACAGGTTCAACATGAACTTTTCCTTCTCTCTTTTCCACAGAACCAGTGCAACTCTTTGCCTGACTGTCCTTGGCTGTTCGACCATCTGAGCGATCAGTTGGAAAGTTCTCAGAAGAAGCTTCAGGGAAGCCTTCGGGGGGTATGGCTCCCTCACTGTCATTCATGATTAGGACAGGTGGATTTTTAGTGCAATTTTTCTTATGCTCAAGGAATTCAGCAAGATTGAAGAATTCTGCACAGCATTTCTCACAAATGTTGGTTTCTTCTGTTCGACACCTCTTGGAACTCATTTCACCCTCTCCATCACCTGGGACGTCTTGTGGACTCCCTTGAGAGAGAGAGACAGAGGAAAAAAAAAAAAAAAAGGAGAGAATCAAATCTCTCTCCACCATAACCATTTTTCCATCCTGAAACGGTGATAAAAGCCCAGACAAGTGAACTAAACACAACCATGAGACAGTTCAAATCCTGTTCTTAGCTGTGCTGATGACCTTGAGCATCACGTGTGCATTTAACAGCATCATTTGATGTAAAAATTGATCAAATAAACCCCAAGGCCTTATGAATTACCTATAAATCAAAGGACTACATTTCCTAGAGAAATCTCTTCAGAAATGTAGGAAGGGGATGGGATATTCTAACCAAGTCAGGCTTGACACACTCAAAAAGGCAAAGCTTCTTATGTAAAGAATTATAACAGAAATTTATTCCAAGGTTATTGTAGTCAGTACTTCAAATTCTAACCAAGCCACAAAAGATATGGGGGGGGGGGGGGGGGG